CACACACACGCACGCGCACACACACACAAACATACACACATAGGGGTCGTCATAGTATGCGTTTTTGCATGATATGCAAAAAAGCATATTGTGGCGACCCTGGTGTATGTGTGTGCGTCTGTCAGGGTATTTCAACTCGGCACCAAAGCAAGTTTCGGGGCCAAAATTTTGCGAATGGATTCCCCGGCCAAGTGCCACCCCAGGACCGCGGCACCAACCCTTAAGCACGTCTAGGCCTCGCGTATGAGCGCCTCAAAGTTTGGCGGGAAAATCGCTAACTCGAGAACCAAAAAAGCTAGAAAGCTGAAATTTAGGGGTTATCTTCCCACTCCAAGTAGAACTCAAAGATTTCAAATTCAGCCCTCGTTATGCGTAGTTGCCACCTATGGCCCCGTGAAAGTTTTTGGCGGGAAAATGGCTAACTCCGAAACCAGAGAGGCTGGGAGGCTGAAACTTTCAGCAAGTGTTCCCAACTCATCTACAACTTAAATTTATCAAATTCAGTCCCCCGTGATGGGTGGTTGCCACGTGCGGCCCCGTGAAATTTTCTGGCTGGGACTTGGGTAACTCGGGAACTGAGAGAGCTGGAAACCTGGGATTTCGAGGGAATGTTCCCTGTCCAAGTATAGCGTGGATAATTAACTTACCGAAACTCGAGGGCCAGTATGTACAAGAGGTTTCTAGTTAGCGGGATTTCGAGTGATCTTAATGCAGCACGAAACACTGCAAAAACGCATGATCGCACGGGGCCGCCCAGTGCGCGTCGCCAATGATTGCATTTGCATATAAGCAAAAACGCATGAAAACGAAGCTAATGTCCAAGCAAGCAAAGATAGGGCCAGAACAAGCTTCCACTGCCTCTCATTTTGTCCGGTCAATCCAAGACAAGCCCTGCCACCAAGGACATTCCTGGATACTTATATAACAACATTTTGTGAAGCAAGCTCACTAGCCAACACAGTTTCCATCCTCGGTCACATGTTCAACGATCCTTGTGTCGCATGGAAGAAGAAAGGAAATTTGTTACTCGTTTGCCGACAACTGTTGGATGCCGCGAATTAGTGGGCGATACCCACGACAAAGTTAAACAACTACTCGGGCAGCCGGCGATGCTCAGACATCGGTTAGGTGGAGGATATTAATTGGAGATATGCAGTCAGGGCCAGAGGGCTTGGAGTATTTGGCGTCAGAGCGCTGGGAGTAGTTGGCGTGTGGAGCATTTCAGTAATTTCACTGACATGTGGCACCACGCGGACTGCCTGAATGGATTTGACGGGATACCGGGATACCCGCAATCATGCGAGCATCGCGGGAATTTCAGTTTCGAAACTTTTTTAAAAGTAATGACGCAGAGAAGTGAAGTTCTGCACAGTTTTAAAATATGTGGGTTGAGAAGATTTTCTAAAATTGCAATGATAAAGCTCCTAAGCAGCGGGATTCGAGCATCAGGCATAACTAGAAAATCATCTAAATTAGTTCCAGTTAATTCACTAGTTTAGAAAATAGAGAGCCAATTGAAATGAAGTGCGCTGAACAGCGGGATTATCGGGTTCGATGGATTTCAATCAAATGAGGGCGCGTTTTTGCATTCACTCCAGGATGCGATATTGGCATGCATCCGCTGAATGTAGCCCACTTAAGTGCATAAAAGTCGGACATTAATGATGAAAGCCAATTTTACCATCTTCAAAACTCAACTACATTCATTTAAATTGAATGCAGATTGGCTGGTTTACTTGCATCCAGTGACGCACCAGTTATGAGCTTAACATTCGTCACGATGACGATGATAATAACAGTAACGATAGTGATTTGGTATGAATTTATCGAAAGGAAATTTGCTCCCAGTCTCCTTTAACTGACC